ATGAAGTGGTGTCTGAATCTCTGATGTGAACTGATGACAGTATGAATAATCATGAATGTGACTGAGATCAGCAGAATGAAACAGAGGCTGAATGGACTCAGAATGCTTTATTGTTCTGTCTGCGCTGATTTAACACTCGATTCACTAAATGAATTCTGTACAAACACTCACAGTATCGCTGCTGAACACAGTTGATCTGGCTGTGATTCCAGTCTTTCAGGAGCTTCAGAGCTTCAATCTGCTGCTTGATCTAGAAAATCTTCATCAGCATCTCTTCTTCTGAAATGATGGTCTTTTCTGCTTTATTAGGTCTCCACGAGCACAACAGCTTTATATGACAGGAGCGACACAGCAGCCTCTGAGCCTCAGCTTGCACTCAAATAACATTCACATCATTATGTGCATTAAAATAGTGCTTTATATACAATCTGAAACTAGTCTTTTGACATCTTACACGAGGCTCCCCTGCAAACAAGCCTGCACTGGCCCTTTAAGGGCTGCCAGCGCAGGGCCCCTGAGAATTTGCTCATTGGCCAAATGTTGGCCCCTTAGCACTGGCCCTGCACGGGCAGCCCTCACTTAGCCTCCAGGAAGCTTTAGCGCTGTTTTATAGAAAATAATAAAGTTTAAAATCACCATTATGGAGGCAAGTGCTTGCTTTAGTTGGGTTCCTGGCCCTTGACTTTTTAACTTAAGTTTTTCTCTGGCTGCTGTAACGGTTTCTGAAGCACATTTGTTATAGCAAAAGTTGCAAGAAGAAAAACTGATCTGATGATTCAATCATCACGTAGTGGTCATTCACTGAACTCACCCAGAGTTTGATCTCTTGGGAACATTATTTAAATTGAACTATTTCACATTATATTAGCTCTACAATACAACTGCATGAAATTTTAACCTGCTTTAATAATTTGAATAATAAGTCATTATGCAGACATTTTTTTGGACAGGGTCTTGTAGACTCACACAGATATCAAGATTCAGCGTATGAACCTCAACAATGGTGACAGTCAACAAAATAATCAGATCAACTCTGAACATCACAAAACAAACTTTTCATTGATTGTCACCATTGTTGAGGTTCATACGCTGAATCTTGATATCTGTGCAAGTCTACTTGACTCTGTCCAAATAATTTCTGCATAATGACTTAACGTTCAAAGTATTAAATAAGTTTTTTTTTTGAAGAGGCATGGGGGTGGTCTGTTAGGGGGACCCCCCCCCCCAAGAGCTTTGACACAATTTGAACTGCCTATTACTATTATTTTCTAAGAACTATATAGGTAATTGTTAAACCGATGTCAGTGTCTCTCTAAAAGCGGCTCAATCTGCTGCCTTAGAAAATCTTCATCAGCATCTCTTCTTCTGAAATGATTGTCTTTTCTCCTTTATTAGGTTTCCACAACAGCATCCTCTGAACCTCAGTTCTCACTTAAATATTTCTATCAACAGGCCAAAGTAAAGCTATAGCATGCTATTGTTTTTTTTATTAATTTGTTCATCCATTAATGTATTTTCCACAAGAACAAAAGTCTCGTCACAAATATTATTTATTATTAGAAGCAAGGTGTATCTAGTGGTGATGTAGACTAATAAACTCAAATCTGACTGAAAGTATACGCCTTTCAAAAAAGTATATTTTATAAATAAATAAAAAATAATAAATAATAAAAAAAACAGTAAATATTGTTTTAGTTCCCCCAAACAGAGTTCATACAACTTCAAAAAGCGCCAAAAACACGTGGGTACTTCCGTCAATAGTTCTAGTTTATGGGACATGTCATTTTCTAATATCAAAATTAGTACAATAATAGCTACATCTTGAATATATCTTTATAGAAAAATCTTAATACTGAACATGTTTTTGCTAAAATATTCATAATTAATTATAACTAGTTATGGTTAATTATTCATATTTCCTGTTGTGAGCTGAGTCGCTACAACTATCATGGGTCATGTTTTGTCCTATGGAAAATTAACCATGGTTTTATTAGGCCTATGGTAAAAGTATAGTGACCATGGTTTTTTGGCAGATTGATTACCATTTGTATAACCAGAGTTTCATTACAAATACCATGGTGAAACTATATAGTGTGGTAACCATGGTTTAACTATAGTAACCATAGTTTTTGGTTTTATTTTTAGGAAAAACCAGTTAATTTAAACCTTAATTTTCGTAAGATTTGTGTTGTCTGCCTGTGCTTTGGCTCCCTCTAAACCTGCTATAAAACGATGTGAATATTTGTCTGCTAAATTCACAATACTTTTTATGTCCTTTTGGTATTTTTGCAGTAATTGACTGCTACTGCTAACATATGCTAGCAGTTTAATGCTTAACTAAGTAAGCAAAGACAAAACTACAATGGTCTATTTACAGATGTAACTGACCTGCACTTGAAGTCCTGAACAGGACACTCTTGCCTCTCTGCTCCACCTGGCGCTTCCACTCTATTCTTGCATCCTTTTGGCAGATGTGCTAGGCAAATCGTATTCATGATTTATTAAGAGTCTTATTATTGAATGGCGAATTCAGAAACAACCACTTTGGTACATTCGGCAGTCTGCAGGCAACAAAAACGATATAAAAAATGTAGGGCAGCGGGCCAAATCAGCTGCCAGGCCACCGGGAATTCTCCCGGTTCTCGAGATGGCCAGTGCGCCCCCAACGGAAACTTTCCATCTGAGTGACTCCTGTTAGACTGCTCAAACTTCATCGATGAGAAGATTAGACAGTAAGTACAGGTTTGTCACACTACACAGTAATTTGAGTTGTCATCCTCTAAAATCATCTTGTATTATCGTTAATGTTTTGTTACGACCTCTAGGGGTTAGCCATAACAGAAAGAGACAACCGAGTTCACACCAGAGAGATGGCAGACAAGGCCAAAACAAACAAACTTCTCTTTACAGACCAACTTACCTACCTCCCTCGACCATAAACAAAGTGAAAAAAGATACATATAAATAAAATGGCGTCTAACCCCCTTCGTCCCTTAATTTGGCAAACGTGTATTTACAAGAATATTAAAAGTTATTTACAAAGTTTCAGGGCGTACACAAAGCAGAATCCGAATCGTAGTCAAAACAGGCAATGTTCAGATAAACAGGAGATTCAGAATTTGATCTTACAATGACAAACACTCAACAGATTCACTACACAGAATATCTCTCTCTGGTACGACACTCACAACCAAACGACGACGAAGATACAAACAATAGCAGAAAACAGTCAACCAGAACGCTAGCGAAACACGATGGTACGAAGTCAACGAGGCTCGAAAGCAGCAGACCAGTGTTTGGGGCGGTCCTTGTATCCGAGTAAGCTGCATAATACGACCAATCACCATCTCCAGCTGGTTAACAGAGGCCACACCCATCTGGAACACAAACCTCTCTACACACACACGAGCAGAGAGATCAAAATACATACAAAAACAGTTCACAGATGCATAGCATATCTCAAGGTCATAACACCCCCACCCATAAAATAAAACATACAGTGTTTTGCTGGTTGACACGGGACAGTGAGTCAGCAATAACATTTTCAAGTTGTAACCTTGACAGATCAGAGACCACCGCATTAAACGATGATTAGCATTAAACATTTGTTGAAGAAAGGTAAGAGGGTTATGATCAGTAAAAATAGTATGTACACTTGAACCAATATACACTTCAAAGTGTTGCAAGGCGAGGATTGTGTGTCTGTAGGTTGTCTGGCTTTATGGTGTCCGGACTTTCCAAACTGCTCACTGCAGATACTCAAGTATGTCAAAAGGGGCTTTCGCACCAGAGGAATAGTTTCATAGTTCCTCGAACTATTGGCGGAAGTTCCCGCTTTTTGGCGTGTTCACAACGCAGTAACTAGAAATGTATTTAGTTCTAGAAAATGCGGGCTTACCTGTGTTTTGTATGCATTTGGCCAGTCAGCGTATTATGTCACTGATGGTTCCTATGGAACTGTCTTATGGCGCTTTTCCACTGCATGGTACGGCACGGTACGGCTCGGTACGGTTCCATTTTTGGGGGGTTTCCACTGGGTACAGTACCTGGTACCTGGTACTTTTTTTAGTACCACCTCGGTTGAGGTTCCAAGTGAACCGTACCGTTACCAAAACGTGACGTGTAAACTCTGCTGATCACGGATTGGCCGGAGAAAATCGTCACTACCTGCGTCACTAAACTTGCGACACAAACACAAGTTTGAACGAGCGCACCTTTTTTTAACAACCAAAAAGTTT